AATAAGCTCTCCCTGCTCGCCCGGGCCCCCGCCTGGCTGGACCAAGTGGTAGTACCAGCCTAGGGGCTTTCTCTGGGTGGGTTTCTCTTGTTTTCCTGCTGACGAGCTGACTCGGTTGTAAAAACAACAACAAAAAACCCGTTTGCATATAAACATCACTTTCTTGGGAACTTAGGACAAAAAGTAATATAGCTTATGTACTGAGGCAAGAGACTAGAGAATCTATTCTAGTGGTTTAAGGAAGAGCCAGGTAAAAGGAGGGTATCCAGGTTCCGGCAGACCCACATCAGCCGGGGGGAACCATTGTAGCTGGAAAACTGTGTACACCTTAGACTTGAGTTTGCTTCATGACAACTGTGTAAGAGGTGGCTGGCTCGTTTAGACGGAAACGTTTTAAGTGAAAATGGACCTAGACCGACTGGCTGGAATTATTTTCACTTGTTCATTTGCTTCACAAATAGGAGTAGAACACTCACTATATCGTCGGCACTGTGCCGGGGGTGGGGGAGTCGAAGATGGGAAGAAAGACTGTTGCCCTTCAAGGAGGCGAGTCTAACAGAAATAGTTCCACAAATAAAAACTGCAGACAGTGAGATGGCTCCTTGAATGGAGGCCACGATAGGACAGCAGGACAGTGACAATCGGATATTGCATTTTAGTAAAATCTTGTTTTTGGAGGGGGTGGCCAAGTCAAGGCTGGAGTCAGGGAGACGGTGGTGCATGAGAAACACAAAAGTATCATCATGGCAGTGAGTGTGAACAGCCGGCCAGTTCAAGGGCTTCTAGGATGTCCCAGGCACCACACTGGGTGATTGGATCGAAGGGAAGAGTCATAGACAGGGAAGGTGTTGGATTTCCAGCGTGGGTGCCGGAGAGGGTAATGATACTGTTCACCTCAATATTGATGACTGGAATACAGTTCTTAATTTTGAATCGTCAGTTAGAAGAGTATTTCCCCCAGGTGATGGTTTCCAGGGGCCCCTTGGTTACGAGGCACAGCGCGGAGGGGAAAGGTCAGGCAGGGATGGAGAGAAGTCCCAGTCACTGGGACAGTGGTGGCTGTTGAGGCCGTGGGCTCAGATGCCTGCAGGGGGGAAGAGAGATTCCATCATCCTCTTTCAGACCAGCCTTCCGGGAGACACGTGAGTGAGGCTGAGACAGTCGTTAGACTATGGGACGCCCATTTCCCTGGAATGCAGTCACTACTTGGGCATATTTAGGTACCTGAACACTGACTTCATTCATTCCTCACCTTCCTTCTGAGGAACTTGGCCAGTTTTCTAACTGGTGAACTGTTTTCTTGAATTCCTCTTTGTGGCAGATGTGGGGTGAAAATAGTTTTGTATTATTTTAGAAAGATGAGCGTGTTTCGAGCGCAGAATCCCCAACCTTAAACGTTTAGGACGAACATGTTGCCCGGGTTCCCAGTGGCCGATTGTCCTACGTGCAGAAATAAGAACTGGGACTTGAAAAGCAGAGGTTCCCCTTGAACCTGGCTTCCCGCTGTTCCTCTTTCAGTATTTCCTGGAGTCGCAGGATGAATCAGAGTAGACAACACGAAAGTCTCTGAAGCCCTTGCGCTGGGTAGCACGCCAGACTGGGCAGTTAATTCATTCCTCCTGTGGGCCCAGGTGTCTTCTGGTGTCATGTGAGTCCTCTCATCCATCTGCTGGGGCCACGGCTGTCCTTGTGGTGTCTAAATCGGGACACTTAGCATGTGTGCGTCATCCGAGGTTCTGAAGCCCCCTGTTCTTCCTCTTTCTCTGTTCTTCCTGTCATTGCTGCTCTGCCTGGAAGCAGTATTCTCTTCATTCCAGCTCTTGCAGAATGCTGCGTCTGTGGACCATTCCTCTTTGAAGCTTTGAGTTGCACTAAAATATTTATAACGTGTGGGTAGGCCCTTGAAAGGGTTTAGTTTCCCGACGTTATGTCTCTTGACTTAACCGAGGCCTTTTGATGATAAGAGCTCATGTAAGGTTTCAGATCAGGGTGGCTTAATTGAGGAACACCTCTTTGACATCAGTAGGCAGTTGTATACTCATTAAAGAACCAATCTCGGCTTTGCTCCGGATGGGGCAACAGCGGGCTCGGGGCTACCTCCTGGCTGCCTGTGGTCGCGTTGATCACACTGGGGCGGGCTGGTTTTGCCGATGCCTCGGGAACCAGGAGGGGAGTGCCAAGCCCCGTGTGTCTGTGTGTTGACTGGTTCTGGCTGGAGGTGGTGCACAGGGACGTGACATTGGGTCGTCAGTTGTCCAGGCACCAGGAAGGCCCCGGGGCTGTGAACTCACAGAGGACAGAAATCATTGTCACGCATGGTGCAGAGCCTGGCGTGTTGGAGGCCAACACGCGCCATTTGTTAGATGTTAGAAGTTAGGCAGCAAATGGCAATGTGCTGAGTAAAGACGGCCCTGGCCGCTTCAAGGGAGACCAGTAAAAACCGGGAAGAAAAGAGGACGGGCGACCTCAGAACCCGGCTCCTGCAATCTCTGGGGAGCGGATGTGGCATCCAGACGTCAGAGTCAAATCCAGGGTCTGCAAGGATCTGACGCCAGCTGTGATGTGTGGCTGGCACTGGTCCTACACCTGCCTCCTTGCTGAGACACCTCTGCCGGATGACTGGGTTCACAGAAATGTTCCAGGTGAGCAATTAATTGGAGACTTCCCGAAACCCAGAATTCCGATGCCTTGATGGCATAAGCCGTGGGTTGCGGATTGGTTTTGAACGGTGGTCTCTGATGTCTTGAATTAGGTAGAGAAGCATGGAAGTAAATAAATGAACATGAAACAACTAAAGAGTAAACTATGATGTGGTCATTAAGAATCACATTTTCAAATGACATTTTTGCTAAGTGACAATTCTTGTTATGTGGAAAAAAAAGCAAGAAACTATATCTTGGTCCATATGGGGTCTGAATGAATTCCTTTTGAATAAATGACCATTTGCCAGATGAATGTGCTGAAAGCCTTATATGTTTGTGCAAAAAAACATGAGTGCCTTGATGAATCATTCTTTGGGTCTTGAAGTGAAATATTGTGGATTCATGGTCACGGTTTGGGTGTTCCCAAGCCTTTAACCCTTTTGGAGTGCAGTTTCCTTCTGAGAACTGAGGTGAGAGTCTGCTCTGGAATGGTCCGTCAGGGGCCCTTTTGGGTCCCACGTGCTCTGGGTCGGACTTTGGGACGGTGGACAAAGCAGAGTCACTGAGAAGGATGCCACAAGGCAGGTCTCATATGGCCCGTATCTCTTCATCAGCCGGACTCCGTCAACCTTGACCTCCTATTGTTGCCCCTCGTTTTGTGTGACTGTCTCGAGTTTCTGCCTCCTGAGCCACTCCTTGCTGCCGCTGTGTAAAGAGGCCTCTTGATTTATTAATCAATTAATCAGTGCATGCTGAGGAGCTGTTCAGGGTAGTTAAACAAGGAAAACAAAGTGCTGGAGCCCATAATCAAGATGGATTGTAATTAAGAACGCTGCTCCCTCCGCTGATCTCCCTGCCACCCTGGTGACCTGCACCACCTCCCACCCCCTAAGCCCATCCAACCCCTTTCAGCCCAGACGGGGCTTCCGCCCCATGAAAGCTGACGGCAAACTCCAGCGAGGCACATTTTCTTCTAATGTTCTTGAGGAAGATAAGCCTTGAGAGAGGCCCCATCAATTATCTGCAACAACTGTTGAACCTCCAGAGCTCAGCCAGGCACCAAACATGGCGCAGAGACTCTGTCCATCACAGAGACCCTGTGTATTCGGTTCCAATTTCCCTACAAATAGAGCCATGGGGATGGAGGAACCTGACCATGAAGACAGGCCATGACCTTGTGTGATGGATGACAGGTTCTGTGAGGCCAAGTAAGTCGTCCAAGGTCACACAGCTCATTCCTGCAGAACTGGAACTGGAACCCAAATGTTTTGATACCCAGTCAACACGTCTAGTGCTTATTTCTCTGCAGCTCTGCATTCTTGGAAAGATTAAAGCAGAGTAAATGAAAGAAATCATCCTCATTGATTTCTGATTTCTCTTAGATATAGGCTTCTGAGCTAAAGAGTTTTTAACAGTAGTTTTGGGTGAAATTTGTGGGGAAAAGTAACTTGGGCTGTTTGTCAGGGAGATATTTTTCTTCTAATCGGTCAGGATGTCAGATGCCAGAATCAGGCACGGCCAGCTTGCCACGGGGCAAAGGTCAGCGGAGTGAATCTGCAGGGGTTCGCTGGGCTGCCGGAGCTGGCTGGGTCTCTGGTCCAGAGTGTGCGGAGTTTGGTTTCCTTCCAGTGGCCCTTAGCACACAGTGCTAATGAGGCCCAGGTTTTCACAGACTGGAATCTCTGTTCTGGGTCACAAGGGGCACCCCCATTCGTTACCAGCTTCCCATGGTCCAGGTGGGCCAGGAGCCACGTTGCGTCCATCCAGAATGACGGCATTCACCTGCCATGCCCGGAGATGCATCTGTGCCTACTTAATGCATGTCTTGGGAGGATTCAGGGACAGTTCTAATCCTTTGGTAGACACAAGAAGAATCTAGAATGTTCTTACTTGATGGACCTAAAACAAGGAGGATGCTTAGAAATCTTTTTTTTTTCTTTTTTTTTTAAAGATTTTATTTATTTATTTTTAGAGAGGGAAAGGAGAGAGAAAGAGAGAGAGAGAGAAACATCAATGTGCGGTTCCTGGGGGTCACGGCCTGCAATCCAGGCATGTGCCCTGACTGGGAATCAAACCTGCGATACTTTGGTTTGCAGCCCACACTCAATCCACTGAGCTACGCCAGCCAGGGCTTTTTGTTTCATTATTATTCTTTAAGTCTCCACTATAAAACTCTTGCATTTGTCAAATATGTCTGTCCCCCAGGCTCTTCTGCCAGTGTGGTGTTCATTTCTGTTGGATGTCAGTCAGGCGCTTTGGGTAAATCTGGGGCCTAACTTCCATAGATTGGCCACCTGAACTGCACTTGCCAGGCTTGAGTTATAGGCTCTCTTTTCTCTCTGCTTGTGTGTTCTCCAGGATCCTGCTTTCTCGGCTGTGATTCATGACAAGCTCCAGGTCCCCAACACCATCCGGAAGGCATGGAACGACAGGGACAACCGCTGTGACATCTGTGCCACGCACCTGAACCAGCTGAAGCAGGAGGCCATCCAGATGGTGCTGGCCTTGGAGCAGGCAGCCGGCAGCGAGCACTACGACGGCTCGCCGGGCTCCCCGCCACCGCTCCCCAGCATCCCCACCCTGGTGGGGCCCCGGCACGTGGGCGGGCTCCCGCAGCCCAGGGATTGGGCCTTCGTGCCCGCCTCCTATGCCTCCTCCAACTACACAGCCTTTGTGGCCAACAAGCATAACGGCAAACCCAACAGCCTTGGCGTCAGCAATGGGGCGGAGAAGAAGAGTGTGTCCCCAACCCATCAGGCCAAAGTCAGCCTCCAGATGGCCACCAGTCCCAGCAACGGAAACATCCTCAACTCAGTGGCCATCCAGGCTCACCAGTACCTGGACGGCACCTGGTCCCTGTCGAGAACCAATGGGGTCACCCTGTACCCCTACCAGGTGAGTAGCCTCTGAGCAAGGACGAGTGGGGCTGGTTAGAGGCAAAAAGGAGACGTGGGTAGGTAACACTTCCCTTCGCCACTCTTGATTTTGGGGGAAGTCCACAAGCCAGAGCCTAGTGTTTCCATGCAGCCCCAGGGGCCGTTGCTCCGTAAAGATAAACTACACGAGGAACCAGTGATCCGGGACAGAGCACCACCCCCCCTCGTCGTCCGCCCTGTCTGACAGAGGCGTGGACTCCCTTCCTGCCTCTCCCACCTCGGTGGGCCGTCACCCGTGTCTGTTTGCGACTCCTCTTTAGTGCTGTCGTGAGATTAGGTTACCAAATGTGTTATCCACTTCTGCCGTTTTCTTTTTACGTTGTTTAAACTAGCACAGACGCCCGGGTTTTTCTGTAGAAATAAGAGAGCAGGTCTTAAAGCTGCCAAGGAATCTGAAAAACTTCTCTTCATTTTTGTTGGCCGAGTTTCCTGTTGGGTGAGGGTTGGGTTTAAGGCATGCGTTCTCCGTTCCCTGCACCGTCGCCACGGAGTGGAGAGGTGGCCGGGGTCGTGGAGCGTGTGAGTCAGGGCAGATAACAGGTGTCACAGATGATCTCGGCTTACTTCTGACTCGTATCTCTGTTATGTTGGTTGTTTGGTGGGTGGCCTTCCACAATAGCGTAGGGACCTTGGTTTCTCTGTCTAACTTGCCACCACTTTGCATAGGCCTCAGAGCCTTCCGCCAGATCTTGCACCAGCAGCCAGGAAACGAGGGAAGAAAGAGTGTGGAGAATCTCACAGGGCGGCCGGGCGGTGGGGAGGGGGCGCCCAGTCTGGAAGGAGCGCACTTAACTTCCATCTACATTCCAGTGGCCAGAACCAGTCCGCTGACCCCACCTCTCCTCGGGGGAGGCTGGGAAAGTCAATCTGTGCCTGCGCCCAAGAGAAAAAAGAAACAAGTTGAGTGAACACATAGCATAGTCTTCGTTAGGTGGGGCAAAGTTACAGGGAAACATAAAATGAGTTAAATGTGGCTGATAAACTTCCTGGTAACTTTCCTAGACTGCAAGAGGGAGGCTAGATGGCCTCTCTTGATATCTTACAAGCAAGTTGGGTGCATGGATCATTATCTTAAGAAGTGAGCATTCCTGGACCACCGGACGGTGATTTACTGGGTACTCGGCAGCTTACAGAACAAAGTGCACGCATCATTTTATTTAACCCCATGATAGGCCGGTGAGGGAGGCAGGGCAGACGTTCGATCTTCCCTAGAACCCAGACCGGTTCTCCTCCACCCAGGGGGAGGGGTTGCCCCACTGTAGCTGCTTCCAGCTTCCTCAGCTGTCTCCTGCCCCCGTCTTTTCCAGGGGTGGCTCCTTTGCAGAGGGGGCACACCAAATAAAAGGACTCCTATTTTGACTGGCCGGGGCCTAGCTGCCACTTTGCTTTTGGGCAGAGTTTCCTGGGTGGTGGATATAAATATGCAGAGAAGCCAGGGGCCCCCTGGGTGGGGCTTCATGGCCGTGAACTTCAGCGTAAGCGTCCAGGCCAGGGGCACAATCGCTTCTTTCCACTGGTGAGTCACACACATCTTCTGTTTGCAATTGTGAAACCTGCTATTTGGAAAAGTACAAAAAGTAACGCGTGTCTGTTGTAACATAAAAATATATGAAAACATTTACATAAGACTTTAAAAATCAACACCACCGAGAGATAGACGGTGTGACATTTGGGTTTCTTTCCTCTAAGTCGTTTGTGTGTCCACAGTTTGTAAAGTGTGATTATGTTCGATTCTGTGGTCTGCTGTTTGCTTTAGTATGCTGGGTGCATTTTCCCCACGCCATTATACATTTTTCTGAAATAGGAGGTGTAATGGTAGGCCAATATTCCATTACATACGTGCTCTCCATGACACAGATATGTCCTAACTTACAGAACCAGGCACCAATTCGTGGAAGTGAGGTTCTTGCTACTAGACATGGAAGGCCCGGGTGCACACCCTTCTGCCAGGTCCTATTTTCAGCACATCGTGGGTTGTGCTTGCCACATAATCCTGTTACACAGACAACCCCCACGTCACCTTCCGGGGCCCCCAAGCACCTGTAACGCGGGCAGGTGTTAGTTGGAGGGCTCAGCTGCTGCACTGCACAGGGGAGCAAAGACAAAGGAACTTGGAAATGGTGCTTTCATATAAAGTAGTCGAAGTGTCGAGAACATTTGTATGTGTGTGCACGTGTGTGCGGCAGGGGGAAGCTAGAGGAAGATCAGGGTCGTGGTGCATTTCTGTTTGTGCGGTAATTCTTTCTGTTCCTCCTCTTTTCCTTCCACCTCTGATGAGAGAGAGAGAATTTCCTGTGCAATAACAAATGTTCGTTAAGTTCTAACCAAGTGCCAGGCACTATGCTAGGTGTTGGGTGGGGCTCCTGCTTTGGGTTGGAAACCCAGGTTTCTGTCCTGTGGTCCTTAGGGGAGGAGGCAGGTGCACCTCCCATGACAAGCCAGGGAGGGGAGTGCAGAGGTGGAGAGATGCCCACACTGCACTGAGGACCCACAGAGGGGCTCCCAGGCCCCCCTTCGGGGCGGGGGTGTGTCGCTGTGGCTTGAAGCCAGCTATAAAAATGATTCATGCAAGCCACCAACTTGATATTGTCCTGGGTCTATCTGATGGCCTCTTCCCTCCCCCCCTCCCATCCCCAACAGACTGATGCATGCATTTCCCCTGAGTGACAGTAAAAGGAATCAGAGGCAATCTCTCTGGGATAAAGAGATCTGGTGCCTGGCTGTGAATCAATGTCCCTGTGTCATGGCGATCATCCTGGTGCCCTGCGGTGGGGGCTCTGGAACCGGCCAGACTGGGTGTCTCCTGTTACAGCCATCTCCCTGCAGTAAATTTTCCGCAGTTCACAGCCTCGCTGGCTGGGCAGGGATGGCTGGCCGCCCTGAAAGCTGACCTCACTTTTCCTGCCCGCCAGGACTCCCACTTCCTGCCACACGGAGCAGATGGCCCTCTGGGTCAGTGCCAGAGCTGGCGCCTGGGCAGGGAGGCACCTAGACGTTGTCACCACGGTGAATTCTGCTCCACACTCACAGCCCGAAGCCCTTAGAAGCCAGGGAGACGAGGACACGGCTCTTCTGCCACTTCAGGAGGATGCCAAGGATGAGGACAGGCTTTCTGACAGTGAGCAGGGTGCGCGGGTGACAGAGAGGAAGTCCCTTCAGGTCCGCCAGCCCCATCACCCACTTCACGGCGCAACAGCCTTCCCGTTACCTTCCGAAGAAAGACTCTCCTTCATTCGTTTGCTGGCACTTGACACCATCTGTGTACATCTGTGAAAGCAGAAAATGCTCTAGAATTTTCGTTTGACTGCATGAGTTTTGACTTTGAGAACACATGCCTGGATTAGTTCCTTGTGGTCAACCGTCCATGAATTGCCTCCCTTTTGGATGGCAGCTGCGTTTACGTGACACCGTGATGCGCGCCCATTGTAGTGAGGGAGCTGCGGGCAAGGCTGCACATCACGCTCAGAGTCATGGGACGTCATGATGCAGGACCACAGCACCGGCTTCCGTAGGGCGGAAGGCGGGGGGTGGGGGTGGGGGGTTGGATCCTGCCCCGCCCCCTTCGAGCCCCCGGCTCCACCCGTTGGTAAATCTCAGTTTTGTAGCTGAACGTCTCAGTCTCTCTTCTTACCTGTGAAACCCTTACCTTGTAAGATCATGGTGGAGGGCAGGTAAGAAATAAAACGAAACTATTTAATAAATGATAAGGGGCACCAATATTGATTATCTATCTCAGTGCCCCCACTTGCCAGAGGAGAACCCTGAGGCTGAGAGATAGCGAGTTTCTTTTGGTCAGACTTTCCCGAGTCTTAGTGGGATCTCTTCTGCTAGATTAGGGACTCCTCAGGAGCCTGGGTCCCTTTTACCCTCCCGTCCCTCCCCGTGGCTGACCTGTGCGGAAGTGGCTGCTCTTTAGAGAAAGCCTCAGTCTCAGGAAAACATGAAGTGTTTTTTCTGATTGGCCCTAGATTTAGGGGGAAAAAATCCTGGCCAAAACATTTTATCCAGACCCCACGGTTTTTGGTGGAAACCACCAGTTTGTTGGCTCCAAGCTAATCTTCAACACAAAGTATCTTAGTAGTACCCAATATAAATCCTTGGGTGAAATGAGGGGAATCCAGGTGGCAGTTTGACGTCACACTCAATCCAGGGACATTTGGAAGGGTCGAGGTGCTTTGTTTCATAGGGTTTTGATAGATTGAACTTGCCAAGGAAATTCAAGCTGTTAGATTAGCACATAAGTAATACAAGCATTCTGGGTCATTCGGCGTGCGTTCCTTGAGTGAAGGGGATGCCCATGTGCCCAAAAGGCATCTGTTGGGATCCATGTCACAGAAGAGGCTAGACTGAACTCTGGCCGAAGTCAGGGGTGGCATTGTCTCCTATGTATTTAGAAATTGTGTCTGGAAAGCACAGGCATTATGGGAGTTTACATTTCAAGGCATGTGAGCAAGAGCGGTGTGAGAACAGCACCACCCTGGAAACGACTCAACGTTTGCTCAGCGGTAGGGCCTCTGCAGTACCCCAAATTCGCTCTTCAGAGGTCAGAGACGAGGTGCTGGCCCTTTTGGAGGACTTCCTGGGGCCCCGGAAAAGGGAGGTGAGACCCTGGGAGGCAGGCTGATTCTCCAGGACCCGGAGCCTCTGTTCACGGTGGAGTCTTGGAACCCAGAAGTGCATGTTCCGGGGCAGCGGGTGTCCATGGCACAGGGTACACCCGTGCTCTGTCCTCACGGAGTCGCTTTCCAAGAGGGAGCAGGGTCAGGCGTTTGCATTGGGTCCGGAGGAGAAAATGCCCATTCACGTTCTTTGCTCAGCCGTCTGTGCCCTGAAACATGTGCAGCACCCTTCCTGGGCTGGCCCTGGTGTCCATGCGCTGCTGCCTCTGCCCAGCCAGCGCAACAGCAGACAATGTCACAATCTGACAGATGCTGACATCAGAGAGGCTTTTGTTAGCAA